TATATATCTGAAACATACTTTGTTATGACATTCAGAATTCAGAAAAACAGATACAAGTAAAAAGTCTGTGAACGTAAAAGGGCTAAATGAAAGGACAACGGTTTATAGGGGAGGGGAAATATCGAGGGGGATCATGATGAGGAATGGTATGGGGTGAGTGGAAAGATCGTATGACAGAGTATAGGGCAGAAAGGAAGGACAATATCGAGAGGTTCCGGAGAGGGCTAGTTGGTAGCGAACAGATGATTGGAAGTTGGAAGTATAGAAGGGTAAATAGTGTTATGAGGGATGGTACACAAGCAGAGAAATATATAGAAGTATTGAACCGGGGAGGGGTAGATCGAAGGGCGATGGTCGATTATGGGGAAAGAGAAGGGAAATGATAAAGAGGGGGATATGAGGGGGAGGTTGAGGTAGGATACTATATGTGAACTTTTGATAAAAGGGCAGATGATAGACAGGAACGGGAGGGTAAGTATAAAGCGGAAGAAGGGAGAGTATACCAGCAACAATCATACAGTATGCACACCATATTAGTGTGTCCAGCACCTGTGGGCGAGGGAGGGTAGGAAATGAACTGTTAAGGGTAGGACAAGGGAATAAGTCATATGATCGATGGAAGGTTAGGAGAAGAATTAAGCGGAAGAATGGAAAATTTTAGCGCGATGAGAGGAAGGAACTAATTTACGGTTGAGAGAGGGCTATAGATGGTTTACAGGCACGGGGGAGTGGAGGGGATGGGGTTGAAGGGTATTTGGAGACTTTTTCTGTCCATGGTTCGCGGTGGTCCATAGTTACACCCTGTTAATGGTCGGGCATTGAGTTCGCTTCTATATTTGTTTCACTTTAAATGATCATAGTCATGCAAAACTAAGAAACTAATGGCCCGTAAATAATAAACATTGACTTCTTTAATTCCAATGTCGGTCATTTGAGAAGTGAGCTGTTTTAATGACGAGCGAATAGAAATACGTTGAACATAATTTGATGTCATTACATTACCCGAAGGGTGTACGCCGAAAACTGTCCAGTAATTAGTTAAAAACAAGACACCGATCGAGACCCGTAGCAGCCCGAGATCTGTTCTCTCCCAGTTATTGGTCAGTTTAGCCATGTCTTATTTGTGTAACAGGAGTGGGAAAAGGAGCAGCAAGACCGGGGTTCGAAGCCGGGACCCTATGACTCTTAGACGGACGCTCTCCCAATTGATCATGAGCTACCTGGTCGCCGACGATCGACCCAGTCCAGTTCCGCTACATTCCTCCCTCCTTTTTCTACGTCTTCGCCCATAAGACATTACTATTTATACAACCTAAGTACGGATATCCCCTTGCAAAGCAAAAATCAAGTATGGGGTTAGCTTATGCGAGAGATATGGGGTAAACCTGATTGTGCAGTATTGGGTGAACGTGTGTAAAACGTATAGAGTGAGCTTGTGTGGGAGATGTGGAGTGAACTTGCGTGAAAGGTTCGAGTGAATTTGTATGGGAGGCATGGGGTTAACTTTGTGGAAGGTATTGAGTGAGCGTATGTTGGAGGTATTGATTGAGTGAGCTTGTGTTGGAGGTTTGAGTGAACTATTGTGGGAGGTTTGGGGTATAGTTGTGTGGGAGGTATTGAGTGAGCGTGTGTTGGAAGTATATGGAGTTAACTTGTGTGGGAGATATGGAATGTACTTGTGTGGGAGGTATGCAGTTAACTTGTGTGGGAGGTATTGAGTGAGCTTGTGTTGGAGGTATATGGAGTGAGCTTGTATTAGAGTTAAATGGAGTGAACTTGTGTTGGAGGTATAGAGTTTAGTTGTATTAGAAATATTGTGTGCGCTTGTGTTGGAGGTTTATGGAGTGAGCTTGTGTTAGAGTTGTATAGTGTGAGCTTGTGTTACAAGGGCGGGTTGTGTGAGAGATATGGAGTGCGCTTGTGTGAAGGATATGGAGTGAATTTTGGGGGAGGTATTGAGCGAGCTTGTGGGGAAGTTATGGAGTTAACTTGTGTGGGGGGTATTGAGTGAGCTTGTGTTGGAGGTATTGGATTAACTTGGGTATGATATTTTTAGTGAGCTTGTGTATGAGGTATGAGGTTAACTTGTGTAGGGATTTAGTGAGCTTGTGTGGGAGGTATGAGGTCAACTTGTGTGGGAGGTATGGGGCTAACTTGTGTACGAGGTTTATTGTGAGCTTGTGTGGGAGGTATGGGGTTAACTTGTGTGGGCGGTGTTGAGAGAGCTTGTGTGGGAGGTATAAGGTTATTTTTTATTGGAGGTATTGAGTGAGCTTGTGTGGGAGGTATAAGGTTAATTTTTATGGGAGGTATTGAGCGAGCTTGTGTGGTAGATATAGAGGTTCTCCAACGAGTGGTGGTTGGTTATCATGTTTATCTAACTCGAGTTTTGGAATTTACTCACGAGAGTTAGATAAACGTGATCACTAATCATCTCGAGTTTGAGGACCTGTTTCTCCCATAACGTTCGTATTTTATCTGAAAAAAACCCCCCACATTTTCACCTTGGAAAATATTTCATGTGTGTTTCCGAAGAAGGACAATTGCCATGGAGCATGACGTCACCATGGAAAATGACGTCGAAAAGCATAGTTAAGTGACGTCATAAATCAAAGATTGACCAATGAAATCACGTCCAGGGTGTTACCCACTTAAGCATTAAGCAAATCCAACATGAAGCGCTAACGCGCTTCATTGAATTTGTCTTTGTCCAGTTGGAATTTATATTGCCTATGAATGACAATTGAAAGCAGTTCAATACTTATATTTACCATTTTTGGATTTTTCATCTCATAAAAAAATCAATTACATTTATTATTATTAAGCATATAGTTCAAATAACGTATGTAACGTGTACGCTTGTTCAATGAATAGAACAGCCATCGCCCGGGAGTATCCAACGAAACAATTATGACGTCATAATAATATACTGACAACGGGTGAACCAGTTGTTGCCAATCCTCTAAATGCTGAACGTTAAGCAGGGAATAACAACTACTATTTTTAAGGACTTTGGTATGTCCAGGCCCGGGGACAGAACCCATTATCTTGCTCACTTGGACGAACGCTCAACATTAAAGCAAAAAGTGAGGTGTTGCCATGCAAGGCGCTAGGAAATAACAGGTAGTTAAAAATAGAGAGAAATATAAATATCCCAAATATTGCAATGGATGCAGCAGATTTATTTTGGTCGCTTTAGTGTCCCTAAGTACAGGGCACAAAATCAAATCCCCAATTCTGTAGGGAGGCAAACGAGAGGTTGTTATAGTGGTATTGGGTCGAGTTTGTGTGAGAGGTATCTGTTAAACTTTTATATAATGTATGTGGTGAGAAGAGCACTTGAAAATATAACCAGCCTGGTCAGATATTTTTTCTCATGCACAAATTATGATAGTAAAGCCATTTGAGTCCTTATATACGCGCTACATTTTAATTGGAATCTTGGCACATTGCTTTGCCTGATGATACAGTATGTTTTTGTGTGAGTCGAATATTTAACGAGGGCATTGACATATTGAAATATTAAAATAGATAACGAACTCCGCTTAGGGCTGATTTATGATTCGAGTTTTTCCCCAAACATATGCTGAGTATACCCTTTCTATGTCGTCAAAATGTAATGGAACTACAGGTAGTGGACAGCCTATATGTAAAGGGAGATAACTTGTGTTGTCGTGACAAAATCCCATACAATATACATAATGAGTACTCCTTTACAATAATATTGCTAGCCCTTTCTGGGGTTTCCACTTTATTTTGAGCAAATTATTCCGGCCCACAAGTCAGAAGTATGCACTTCGTGAAAATATGTATATATTTTTAATTTGTCCTCTGTTGGAAAAATCTGCGTTTTAAAACCTAGACATCTATATATACAAGATCACTTCTTTACTGCCTACGTATTCCACACTTTGGATTTGATGTTAACCTATTGCATGCCGGAAATTTGTATAATCTGTAACATCTTTGCGTTCTTTTGCGAATATATTTAATTACCTCGAACAAATTTACGTACAGTATACATTCCACGAATATTTGAGAACCGGTAACCGAGTACTTCAGTTTCATTCATCCACAGAAATATTTACAGTGTATGTAAACCTGTATCGTAACATTGTTCAAACCTTTAAAATACGCCAAGATAAAATAGGTGTGTGCGCGCATATGATTAGACTTAGTCCGTGCTGTCACCTATTGTATATATAGTCAACTAGTTATAACCTGTCAACTATATATATATATCGGTAAACCAATATGTAATAATCAAACATGTTTCCTTCGTGAATATGCTTACATGCAGGGACCCCCATATGTAAGCCAGTTGCAAATGTCTTAATTTACTAACTAATCGGCTACCGTATTTCTTTTTTATAATGGTAAAAGTGCAACAAAATGTCATCATGCTGCTATGTGTGAGAGAAAAAGAAAGAAAAAATATTCGATATCGCTTACATATTTCAATTTAACCAGATAAACGTCAACGTTAGCAAATATACTAATTCTCAATGACGCAACAATAAAAATAACTCCGCCTTTTATGTGTTAAAACCACAGGGACCTGAGAATTTGTTACAGCACGGAATTAGATTAGTTCGTGGTTACAGCTATATATTTGGAAGTATAAACCCCCAGTGATCATTAGGGTTGTCATTTTTACCGAAAGACGACCATCTAAACCCCTAAAACATATAAAATTACTCGGAACATCTTAGTTAAGGTCCAAATATAGCTGTAACAAATCATTCTCGGGTCCCTGTGGTTAAAACCACATAAGTAGTGCGCTTATAATTACCAACGGTCGTAAATGTAGACATACCTGCACATGCTAATGTAAACCTTTAAAATGGTTATTAGACCCTAAGTCTTTATTAATGAACAGCAGAACGCACAATTATCACTAATTCCGCTACCTTTCCGTGAACTAACACTCGATCTGGTACAACCGGTTAAAAGTAGACGAACCGGTCTACTTGTTATCGACTACTTCAGTCTTTTGTACGAAACGACGATATTTACGTGTACTTCCTGTCAGCTGATCTGTGTCATCTCGATCGCAACAAAATGGTTTGTGTTCCATGCATCGTAGTTCCTTTTGTTTTATGGTTTTTCAACAAATATGTGCGACCATACGTTGCCAAATACCTCCCGTGGTTCAAAGAAACACCGACTACCTCCAATCCTCCCAAAACAGATGGCGATTCCACAAAATCTTCTGACGAACAGGTACTGTATTCACATCTGATAATCGATCCATTTTTACTATTCAGAATTTCAGACAGTCTAACATGCAATTGAATTGAAAAACGTAACAGGAAACATTATAAAATATATACTGTTTTAGTTGTTAAATATTCATTAATTTAGTAACTAATGGAAATTATCAGTGACAAACAAAAAACGGAAAAAAGTTGATATCTGGCATTGCCAGTCTTGGATGGAAATTACTTACAAATATTTTTTGTATCTACATATGTTCTTATTTTACATTGGCTCTGCATTGCCATTATATGAACATACCAAGTCAGTTGTGATTAATTTATGAGACCTTAAATCTGGAGTGGTAATTACATATAATCATGACGTCATTACAACTGTGACGTCATAGTCATAACTTTTTGAGAAAGCTGGCTGATAGTGGCTTTCCCATCAATGAAAATCAACCTTAAATCAGAGATGTATATTATTGTATTATACGTCTCTGCTTAAATATATATCTATTTATTGTCAAAGTAGTTAACAAAATATCAAGTATTGAACTGCATTCTGTTCAGTTATAATCATAATCCTAAAATTCTGACAAATATTCATAAGTGCGATAAGGCACTAGTAAGTGTTATTCTGTTACCAGCAATTCTAATCAGATTGGGTCAAACTTATCAGCCCCTACTTTTCTGTAACAAAACATAATTATCTTCCATTCTATGCTGTTTTCTCGCCATTCTTGTTTCTGGTGCTGCATTTGTTATACAAAGAATATTGTTAAAATTATCAATTGTGTAACTACTGTATACATATGGTGGTTTGTATTTAAAAGCAAATGTTTTACCTTCTCAGGTGACGAATGGAACATGCAAATTTGCAAAAATGTTTTCAAATGGAAAAGCTGATATACCAAATGGACATCCAACTACCACGGAAGTTGGCGGTGGAAGTAAAAAGGAAAATTAATTGTCATAGACACACTGCTACATGTCTTTCTTCATCTTGGAATTATGGTCATACAGATAAACCTCAATCGTTTTCCTTGAACAAGATGGAATCAACATTAACATAAGCCGGTCCCAGTCTGAATTCTAGAGCCAGCAGTATTTACCTACAACATGTGTGATAATCAGCACAGCATATTTATACCGTGTATTGAGAATGGATCAATGATGCAATAATGAACTGGGTGCAATGTTTTCATAATATGTACTTCAATTTTGATTTTTTGAAAAATAAATCAAAATCCTAATTTTACACATCATCAAGGAAACATTTAAAAACAAATCTGGTAATTAGGTAATATATGGCTGAACAAAATGTGTTGTTTCCACTTTTTGCTTGAAAAAAATAGGGTTGGTATGAAGGCAGGACAAAAACTTTTTCTTTTGCAAGAAATTTCAACAAATGTTCAAAAAGTAGGGTAGCACTAAAAACTAGGGTAGGGAATTTGACAGGGGAAACATATTTTATTTACTCTAATCTGTTGTAGATTAATGTTTGTATGTAAATTGTTTGCAATTAAAATTTTGTCATGAATTTGAATTCGATCACAGCTATTCATGATAATACAGCATACTTCAAATATCTGACCAAAAATATTGAGATCTGAGCTAACTTTAAGATGTCATATGTCAAAATACAATTTATACATGTACTTTAACAAATATATTTCAAAAGTGTATATGGTAAAATACTCTTTACACATACTTATTGTGAATTCCTGCTTGTAATTATAAGGTATCATTTTGTCCCCTGGCAAAGGTTTATATCTTTGTAATTTGTTGTGCATATACATGTGCGTACATATACATAGTGAACACATTAATGTGGTCCCCCGGTGTTAAAGTCATAAACAGACTTTGTTTTGCATGTAGGTATCGATTATTATAACGACTGACATTTGAATAAAACATTCAAGAAAAGTAATATTGTACAAAGACATTAATAACTGCATTGTAAACAGTACATCTGTGTGTATGGAACCTAAGTAATGCAGATAACTAAAATTTGGAAAATTCACTTTTTAGACTAGAAGACCTTTGAGAGCACATGTTTGTGCACATGTGGAGTCTCCAAAATTAGTTTGAACTCTAGGGTCTGAAAAGATTTATCTATTTGACATGTCTTTTGACCCTCCACATGATCTTAGGGAAACTGTTATTTTACTTAGGTATTTTCGAAATGTCAAGTGACAACTGAATGTCCTGGTAGAAAAGTGGCTAAATTAACAGGTGTCGACTATTTGTAACAGAATATCCTGATCAGGTCCTATTTATTTCATGTGAGTGAGGATCGTTGATGCCGCACCCCTGCATTAATCAGCCTCAAGCCTGTGGTTGCCCGCTATCATCCATCACGTCACCACACTAGATCAGCATGCCACGTCACCATGTACCTGTACCCAGTAAAGCTCATACATGTACACGTATAAATACCAAATTACTGTAATATGATATGTCAACTACAATGTTCCTATATTACAAAAATGTACCTAGCTAACTCGGGTACCTATATTTTGGGATAAAACAATAGCGAAGAAATAAGAAAAGAATAGATACTGTTCATCAAAATTAAGCTCATAAAATACAGTAAATCACTTGTGTTTACATGAATTACTGTGGATAAACACACAGGACTCGTAATGTATTTAAACATGTAATACTGGAGTCAAGCTAAACATGTAATACTGGAGTCAAGCTAACATTTCTATTCAAGGAATTACCTAAGCACTTGTGTTAATTATACAAATACAATATGGAGTACATGTATGAGGTGAAATTGTAATTAAGAATAATCATCTATATCATGTTTTATAGTACATGTATATTGAATTAAACTTTGTTGTACATTTCTTGTTTTGTTGTGAGAATAAATTATTCAGGAAAGTGTATGTATCTGGAGTTCAGTGTTTATATTTAAGTACCGACTGCTGAATTTGTTAATCTATTTATCATATTTGTTCAGCATATATGCATATGTGTGAATGATGTTCTAGACATATTTGAGTCATTATTGATGTGGTCACAAGATTTCTGAATTCTCAGATATACATTCAAAATATTGCATTGTGCACATCTGCAAAATAAATAAAATTGAAAATTGAACAAGAGGCCCATGGGCCTTAACGGTCACCTGATATATTTATACAGAGAGTTGATTTCGTTTTTAACATGAACAGAAATAAAGTGACAAAAAACAATAAAACTACCTTATTCAATATCAAGCATACAGATTTCAGACTAAAAAGGATTTCAAACTAGCACCTCTGATTCTAAACAAGGAAAATGAAGAAATTTTAGCACACTGACTCCCTTGAGCCCCACCCTACAGCCCTTCGGGGTAGGGCTGGCTCAAAAATTTTAAAGTATCAAACTGTCAACTCAAGGTTATAATTCCAATCAAGTTATTAACATGTAATA